ACTATTCAAATGGTGAGTGTGTATAACACTATTCAAATGGTGAGTGTGTATAACTTTTACTTGTTTTCCAAAAAATTGGACCCCAAAAATATTATTCTGGACCAATTGCTGGCTGGTGCAATTACACACTTGGCCATCCATACTCCAATTCTATACATGATTAATAGAATTAAAAAACTTACACCCATAAACTTGACAACACAAGTGCCAACCCCCTCTTTTTAACTCCCTTTGTACACCTTCAGACCCTACCATATCAACCCTTTACCTAAACTCTCCCACATTATTCATTTTTTTTTACCCAAAAAAGTAATGACAGAAAATGTGATCTTTGCTTGTCCTCAGTCAATGTATTGAGAGATGTTACGTATTTCAAGTCTTAGCATGCAGACAAAACATTAATCAATGAGCTTTACATCTCTCATACTGCAATGATGAATTGGTCACGACAGACTGCTGGGCATGACCAGTATTTACAGTTTCCAGGTCAAAAAAGGTTACACCGTGAAAGTACAATAAGTGAATGAAAATCACAATGTGAACATCAACTCGTGTCAATGTAACTCACAATGTTGAACATCTAAAATCAGTTTGGTGGCAATTTGAACACCAAAACTGCTCTGAAACACATTTTTGTCTGACATGGTGGTTTTATTGCCATGTCAGATTATAAATGGAGTTACACGGGAAATCCAGAAACCTCTCTTTGATTTAGAAGATTTTAAAATCATTAATTAATACTGGTAAGGTATGGATACCGATGAACTTTTGACAATTTTAAATACACTAAATCTATCAACATTAACTCAAGTGAATCAGATTTTTTGTCTTAATTTTTAATAACTATTTCAGATCCACACCTGAAATTCCATCTACCAGGGCAGGGAATGCATGTTTTAACACGCCTCACATTCCAAACACTCAATAACGCCTGAATGCTGAATCACTATGACAACAAATTATAATATAATTGCTTTAGCTTTAAGCAGTATTCAATTCCTTAAAATAAAACAAAAACATAATTTCCAATAATCAAGATAATATCTAGGTTAACACAAGAATTAACAAAAATTTAATTACGAAATTGTTGGAGAAAAAATTCCAGTTTAATCTGAATAAAAAAAAACAGCGTTGAATGTAATAAAATGCCATTTTCTGGGCGAGACCCAGAGGCTCCCTGAAGCTATCCAGGCTGATATGTATATTATTAGATTTTGGCATCAGTTTGAATGGAGTTCTAGGCCTACCGGGGCCTCAAGCCAGAACCTGCTCCCTCAGAGAGGCACGAGGCACAATGGCCTATAGAAGTGCACATGTGTTTGGAGCATTCTATGTCTGACATCGACCGGGCCAGGCACCCAGAAAGGTAAGCGCCTTGAAACAAACCCCTATTCTGGTCAAAACTACTACTGAAACTAACGAGTGGACAGAACTCCCAATTGAAAAACAAGCAAACGTGCACATCACACTTGCAATGCTGTTTATCTACGCACTTCCCCCCCTGACTGGGAGGGGAAGGGGGAGCCCCAGACCCCTCGTGTCGGCTATCCATCCACCTGTCAGTTCAAGGTTGAATGTCAAAACCCGCGAAAAAAAACGCCGACCGGGGAGCCTCCAGGTCTTGCTGGATACTAAATTTTCTGTTGAAGAGGACCCAAAGAGTAACAGTCAACCATATAAAATCGAGTCCAAGCGTAGTTAAAAGCTCTGTACCTCAGGGTACAGTCCTTGCACCACTGCTTTTCCTTATTCTCATATCAGATATAGACAAAAATAACAGCCGAGTAACATTCTGGGAGCATCGCTAGTGGATTATGTCCCGAGTTGTGTATGCAGTAGAAGATTAGTTCTAGTGTAGGGGTGAGGCAGCGTCACTCCGAGCCACCCTACACCCGTATTCAGAGAAAAGAACTAGGAATTTTCCCTATATGCAAAATCCAGACCTCTCCCAGTATCTAGGGGGCTATGACTGGAGAAAGAAGATTAGTTAGTGTGGCGTATTACCCATGATAAAAGTCGCGGAACACCAACACATGTTTACACCGTCCATAAACAAAACGATCACCCTCGGGCCATGCTCAGGACGCATGAGGTCCAAGCTGGCTCCTCCCTTCTGTCGGGGAGGGTGCCTACAAGGTTTATTTAATGATTATTATTAATGACTAGGTAGATTAATGAGATAAGATGTGATTATAAAATAATTAGATATAGTATTGAAAGATGATAAGTAGTACGGAAGAGTACCAACGAGTCCTATACAGGACTGGAGACAAGCCTCACCGGAAATCGACAGATGTGTCAATAACCTTTAATTATCGAAGTTCTTCTTTAACCTTCGAGATCCTTGATAATCAAGCACAAAATCACGGAGGCTCAAATGGGCCCAACGGCATACGTAACCAATGGACATGCAAGATCCCAATATGATTCAAACACTATTGTGACATGAAGTAGAATACATGTCCTAGATAAGAATGCTGAGAAAGTTGTTAAAATTACCCACAGGAAGGACAGAACCAACGGATCCAAAGGGACATAGAACTGAACCTGGGGTGGGAACAACACCCAAACCAACTCGCACGTAGAGGGGGGGGGGGAAGGGGAAACCCCTACTCCATGTTACAGTAAGCTCCACTCAGGAGGGGGAGGGAGGAAAACCCAGGCAAGGTCCAATGGGGCCCAAGGCCCCCAAGTCAGTCCCCCCTCATCCCCAGGAACCTCCACACCAAGACCCGAGTGCCGAATCGTCCTCCAAAGCCCCAGCCTAAAAAAAGAAAAAGACGGGGCAACCGTAAAAACACTGAGGAAGGGGGCCCACTGGTCAGACCCATACGCAACAGCTGGAGGAACCGACTCGAATGCCTCTGTCGCCACCATGGAAGGGGCAACCCCCGAAACTGCCAGTCTCAGAATACTTTAAACCCCACCCCGACCCCGAAGCCCTCAGATGCTTCGGAGCCAGAAGCAAGGGATAGGGGAAGGGAACCAGAAGGAACAACAGCAGGGAAAGAATGAGGGGGAGCGGACCGAACCAAGATCGAAGTGCCCCCCCCCCCCAAGTCTGGGTCCCTATAAGCAAAGTGGGGCAGCCTCGGGACATCTGGGGTAGCAATCAACCTAGCACGATGCAGCAACCTAAACCTAGCATGCAATGCCTGAGCCGCCTGCACCTGGATAATGTCAATAGTAGATCGGGTGAATGGAGACACAAACAAGCAACAATCGCAGGACTCTGGGTCAAAGGCGTTACTGACCGAACAGGCAGCATGACGAAGGCGATAACAATGAGCGCCACCCTGAGACAAGGGGTCAGAGCAGCCCTCAAACTCATACGACGCGAGAGAGGACCCAGGGGTAACATCCACTGGACCCCCTTGCGCCCCCGCGGGGTTTCCCTGGGGCCCTTAGACTTATCACTAAGGGTAAGCCCAGGCTGGGTACTGCTAACTGGCACCCAAGTCTACCAATCAATCTACCAACTGAACCCCTGGGATGTGTCCACTCACTGGGAGCAAAGCAGAGGTAGCACCGAACACAGGAGGCCAAGACCCTAAAATAACAGGAAAGGGGGCAGGGAAACAAGAGCAGACCCCTCCCCTCCCCACCAGGCATAAACAAAATTGAAAAGAAAAACCCAAGAAGACAACATACCCAGAAGGAACAGAGCTGGTTGCTGTAATAGATTAAAACTAGCTATGCAGCACCCCATACCCCTACCAGTGCAAAAACTACCACTTACCCTAAGGTAAACAAGGGAGGAGGAACCCCCCCCCCCCCAACACTTCCAGGTGGTCAATTACAGAGCTGCAAAAGATTGACAGAAAAAGACTCAAAGGTGACTTGTGGAAGATTACACCAAGCCCCAAGGGTGGTTACCTTACCTTGAGGTTACCTTGGAGGTGCTTCCGGGGCTTAGCATCCCCGCGGCCCGGTTGTCAACCAGGCCTCCTGGTTGCCGGACTGATCAACCAGGCTGTTGGATGCGGCTGCTCGCAGCCTGACGTATGAGTCACAGCCTGGTTGATCAGGTATCCTTTGGAGGTGCTTACCCAGTTCTCTCTTGAACACTGTGAGGGGAGTGCCAGTTATGCCCCTTATATGTAGTGTAGCGGAAACGTGTTGAACAGTCTCGGGCCTCTGATGTTGATAGAGTTCTCTCTCAGCGTACCTGTTGCACCTCTGCTTTTCAACGGGGGTATTCTGCACATCCTGCCATGTCTTCTGGTCTCGTGTGGTGTTATTTCTGTGTGCAAGTTTGGGACCAGCCCCTTTAATATTTTCCACGTGTAAATTATTATGTATCTCTCTACTTACTTACTTACTACTTACTGTGGTACTTACAGGGCACTCAGGGAAGGGAACCATAAGCACATGCAGCCCGAGTAACTGAATATTACTCCCAGCTCACACGCCACCGTAAGAGCAGTACTGGACAAAAGGCACAGCACAACAGAGAGAATCAGGAGCTGGAGCCACACAACCGAGCCTCATCACATCAGCTGAGAACTGACAGGTGGATAGCTGGCGCGAGGGGTCTGGGGCTCCACCTTCCCCCTCCCGGGATACGGGGAGCTGCGCAGACAAGCGGCGCGGCAAGTGTGACGTCATGCTCGTTTTTCAACTGGGGGAGTTCTGTCCACTCGTTAGTTTTCGGTGGTAGTTTTAACCAGAATAGGGGTTTGTTTTGAGGCGCTTATCTTTCTGGGTGCCCAGCCCGGTTGATGGCGACATAGAATGGTTCAAACATATGTGCACTTCTATAGGCCATTGCTCCTCGTGCCTCTCTGAGGGGGCCAGGTTCTGGCCATGGTCCCCGGTAGGTCTAGAACTCCATTCACACTGACTGATGCCAAAGTCTAATAATATACATATCAGCCTGGATAGCTTCGGGGAGCCGAAGGGGCTACCCTCAGAAAAATTATTTATCTTGAGTTTACAGATGTGGGGCCCCATGTAATGAACATAATTTAGCTAATGTCCTGGTGTACCAACCCACTTACGTTTTATGTCTGTAACAGTACGGATGTAGTTTTTGGTAGTTAAAACAAATTCATTGTATAGGACCCACTCCGGCTTATGGTCGAGACAAGTGGATGGATGGAGCTGTACCACCTGGTTATCCTTGATGGTCATGTAGTGTCCAGTACGCTCCAGGTGAGCAATCTGTAAACAATTACTATATTTAGTGAAGGGGCAAAACAATATGTTTTGCAAATTTGAGAACTGATAATTACATCTAACAAACATCATGACGTTTGGCCTGAAAACCTCCCACAACACATAATAACTTGTTCATTCTCCCTTACAAACCTTAAAAATTAAAAAAAAAAAAAATCTAAACTTAAGACATTTAATAACTTCTATTTCTAACCATGTGGAAGATTAAAGTCCAAAATGTGTTGCTCAAGAGCACAGCTCGTGTTGAAAAGCAATCAACCAAAATATATAATTTTTGTTTGTTTAATGACTAATTATGTGCTTACTAATTTTACCTTGCTGTTAAAAAACAAAAACTACTTTTTTTTTTTTTATCAATGTAAATCATAAACTAGACCAGTTGGCCTTTAATCCATTGTAGACATTTGGTCTACTAGTGCGCCATCTAAAAAGATGAATACTTACATCCTTTTAGAATTTATATACATTAGTACTGGTATTTGGACACACATAAGTGAGAATTGCTTTAATAAACTACATATGCCACTCAATTCATTTTATTACATCCAATAATTTATTATTTTTGTCAGATCCCTAAACCCCCTTGCCATCGGACCTCTTAGCCCCCATCCTATCAAGTCCATAATGTCTCCCCCCCCCCCCAACCTTTTCAGACCCCTACCTTTCCCCAGTGGCCATTTATTTTTATCTTCACTATGCTACATAGGCCTTTAACCACTGCACTTACTACTGTACTTGACCGACCAAGAGGTTCGGCACCAATCCTTTCCTCTGTGCTATCCTAAATCCTTATCCTCACATCCCTTCCATCCAACGGCTATATAGCCATAAAGGTTTAGCATTTTCTCCTGGTAATTACCTTACCTACCTTGACCTACACATGTTACAATTTAATAGTACTGTACAGCTCAAAATTGGCACTGCCAGAGGATGTCCTTAAACCCCCACAATAAGGTGAGTTGAGGTGCCATCCTGCTAACAGTTTCATTGTGGAAAGTGTCTGCAGCTGCCTGGCTGAAAGAATCCAGGTACTGTACCTAGAAAAAAAAAGTTTCCAGAACCTGTTATGTTTGTCCAGATCCCTTGAAAGTCAAAACAGGAGTTTCGGAGACAGTAGATGCATTGTCTCCAATGACAAATGAAAATGTCGCCACTTCTGTTCAACGCCCCAAAATATTGCTATTGTATGGCATGTTTTAAATAAAAAAGAAAAATGCAGTCTAGATAATGCAGTATCTTATCCTCAGAGTACGATTGTAGTCATTTTTTGATCTAGGAAATAGTGGTTACCGCCCTTTGATAATTATCTTCGTTATTGCAGTTTAAATATTGATGTTTATAATATGATTATAGTAGCTCTTATGGATGTAACCAAGACCCATAACAAAATTTTGCTATTATTTTTGTAACTGCCTACTATACAAATTAAGATATTATTAAATGGCAATTTGGTCTTTCCAACCAGTGTGCAAATAATGGGATTGCAAAGACATTACCATTAAGCTGTGCCAGAAACAGATTTACATGAAATATAGGTGTACATTTTACATGTAGGCTTATGTATACTATTAAATCACCATTTTTGTTAATTATGTATACATGAATCAAATTATTTAACACAATACACTCAGTAAACTAATGAGCAACAAAATTAAAAACCCATCCAAGTTGAACATAAAGGGTTCTCAGCCTTCAACACTTCAATCAGCAAATATGCATTTGGTATCCCCACACATTGATCCCTCCACCATGCTACTGTCTAATCCTCACAAAACCAGATATATATTTTTGTTGGCTTTTTGTCTGTTTCCCCTCCAACTTTTGCATGCAAATCTGTCATTCTGTAATTTTATTTTTTCATTTTTTGCACAGAAGTGAGGTGAAAATAAGATGACTGCAGGACCCATTGAAAAGTCTGGTGGGGAAGATTTGAAGGCGTAGGAATAACAGTGCCTTCAGTATACTTCCACCTCTGTTTTTGAACTTTTTAATAACTTCTAGTTATTATTGTTTAATAGTATCTGTATAATACTAATGTCATAGTAAAGCATGCTTTAAAATTTAAACACATTCTGAGTCAGCCTGAAAATCTTTTGGGAAAAGCACACAGGCTGGTGTATTGCCATATTCACCTTGCCATAACCTGTTTATATAGATATATAGATAGCGAACCTGTTTACTTTTATGAGCTTAAGCAAAACAAAAACTGAATTTTGGTTGTATATTGTTTAAATAATATTGTTTTACTATAATTTTTCAATCTTGGAATCAGATTAGGTTGCCGGTTAACCTGGACACGACCTGACAGGAAGGTCAGGTGACTGTTTAGCTGGATGAATCCCAGACAGGCAAGGTTAGGTCATTAATTTGGTTATTGACCTTAGTATTCCAATAAAACAAAAACACAAACTTCTTTTGGATTCAGCTGTTCATATTTTGTATACACAGCATTCAGTACCTCAAAGTATTTTTAAGAACTGTACTATTATTGAAAGTTATGTCAAGTGCCTGGTTCACTCCTAGACCCCATCCTTCAAGCAATCTTGTACAAAAAAAATTCTAGCCTTTTCGATGCCCATGAATTATGTGTAAGTACTGGGTTTAATTAACCCCTAAACCTCAATCACAGTACAAGTAATGAAATCCATTCACTGCAATTAGTTTGTTATTTACAACAGCATTTACCTGCATGAAGAACCCAGATACCAGAGCCTTTCGAATATTCATATAGTAGTCACGGGAATTGAAGTCGGTGGAAGTTCGCTTCAGACTGAAACGGTCCATAATACGAGATAATTGTTGACGAACATTGTCTGCAGACTTGAGGGAACGGTAGTTGACAAAGTTGTCGTAACACCACTGCACATCCTCCATATCTGTTGATATATAATTGATAATTTAAAATTAAACCTTAAATTTACAAAAGATTCAAATAATTAAAATAAGTACTATGTCAAATGACTCATTCAATGTATTGATTTACAAGTGAACAAAAAAAACTTAAGCAATAACAGAAACCATTCACATAAGATTTTTAATAAATTATTTAACTTCCAAAAGATCTTAATATTGCACCAGATAGCCAGTATTATTTTTTAGATAGAAATAATTGTGAAAGTTAATGCCTGAGCAAATTTTCTCCTGTACAGAACCATATTGGACTCTGTCCCCCTATCTGAACAATTTTCAGTGATATTAACACGGGTGTATTTTCCTACTAAGTATTTAATACAACAAAGCATTTTAAATGTTCAGTTTGTTATTCCTGCCTCAGTGTAGAAGCTGTTTTACATATTACCCAAATTTTAAATTCTACTTAATTAATGTTTTTCAATAATATTCACACATTACTCACTCTGTTTGAAGGCATGGTAGACGTTCAGCAGCGTGAGGTGGTCCCCATCTATGTGTGCGAATCTCATCTTGGCCTCGTCTGCAGCCTTCTTGGCCTCATTAGGGCGAACAAAGCACTGGGGTACTGTAGCGAGAATTGGGAAACCGACCCGGCCCCACCACAGCCGCGCATGACGGCGGGAGAGGGAGGGTACGGCCCAAACATTAAGCCTCACCCTCCTCACAAGGCGAAGGGCACCGCCCCTCCTGGCTTGCTCAACACTTTACTTCAGCCACCTAGGGGAGCTACACCAGATTAGAACCACAGCCTCCAACCTTCCCACCACAAACATTCCTACTGGGCCATCAAACTCAACGAGTTTGTAGGGAGAAAAAGATGCCAAAATTCTTGATGGGGCATCTTCAAGCTTCTTACAAGTCAATTTTTCAGACTAACAAATTTACCCTGAGAGGAACGATGGATGGATGTGGTTCCAACACAGCGCTGCTCATTTTAACAACACTCGCATATCAAGTGTTGTTGGTGTCACTTGGTGTACATCATATCCAGCACCTCTAAATCTGATACTCAAAATCTGATACTCAAGGCCTCCTCAAAATTGATAAAACTGCCATGTTGAAAAATGAATTTTGTCATTCTGAAAACCAGTCTACTCTCACAAAGTCACGTACCCCAAGGAATAAATAGACAATGGAGTACGGACTTACAAATGGCTATTTTCCAATTTGAAAAGAAGATTTAAATTGATTTATTTCTTTAAACTAAAACCAAAATGAAACCTACTTTCTAAAATTAGGCCACTAGCTCCAACAAGTCATGAATGGTTTACCTTTCGTAACTAACCTGATAGCATAGCAGTGATGGACAAGATCTCATTAGAGCAGTTGAAATCGCAGGAAGCTATCACCATTTTAGCTAGTTGAGGATCCAATGGAAACTCTGCCATAATTGCTCCTAGCTCTGTCAGGTTACCTGTATAAGTATCAACAATAGTAAGTTTAAAGGAAAATGATGTCTGTAATTAGATGAACTACAGCACACTCAGCTCAGACTAGATACAGTATATCAATTTGAAATAAAATGACAGATGTACTCAAATGTGCAGTTACACAAGTTCAGCACTGTATCACATATCAGGCTGAGCCAACAATTTTTTAACTAAGTATATTGCTCCACTGCCAAATATAAAACTATAATGTATTTCAATTTCAGTCTATAATGTCTCTAAAACAATAATGTCTAGAATGTATTTCAGTTTTGCTTTTTACACGTTATAAAAAAAAAATTTAAAAATAAAATTCAAGAATTTTTTTTAATTATACAGTATTTCCCCATCTATGCCAAGAGAACTTCAAGAGAACAATTTGACAATTTGAAAACGTTCCTAACCTGTATGATAAACAATTCCCTCCTCACTTGTTACTCTTGTAACATGCATAGCAGTCGACATTTGCACTGGGTAATAATATGTGTAGGGAATATGGCAATTTATTTATACAAAAAAAAATTGAATGAAATGAAAAGCCATTTTCTGGGTGAACCCCGTAGGCTCCCTGGAGCTATCAGGCTAATGTGTGATATATTAGACCAGGACATTAGTCCATGGAGTTCGACCTACCAGGGACCACGAGCCAGAACCTGGCCCCCTCAGAAAGGGTGCAGGGAGCAATAGCCCTGAAAAAAACCTGTGGTTGGGGGTTTTTTCCTTATCTGCCAGTGACCGAAGTTAGGCACCTAGAAAGGTAGGGATAACAAAAACCCCACATGGTAAGAAAACTACAAAGAAAAACCGAACAGAGAGCGGAACTCTCTCCAATCCCAAGAAAACGAGCAAACAAGCAAACGTCACACCCACTGCTGTGCCGTTTATCTGCGCAGCCCTCCTCTTCTCGCGCCGGCTATCCAGCACTCCAGTTTCGAAGTTAAGCATCAAACAACATGAAAAACCGCCGACCGGAGAGAGAGAAGGTTGCCAGGGAGCCTCCGGAGCTCACCCGCAAAATGGTGCCGCACCATGGTGCAAGCCTAATGGAAGGACCCCATCGCCTCTGGCCGGCCTGGTTCACAAAAGCCCCAGCCAAGAGACAACGCGTCCGAGAACACACTGAGCGAGGGCTCCAGGAGGTGCCAAAGCACTGAACTCTGAAAACCCAAAGAGGAAGCCGGTGACATAGCAACTGACGCAAGGACCCTTGAGAACGAATCCAGCGATCGTGAAAGAAACAGAGGAGGTATCCCCGAAGGAACCCAACCCAGTAAGTAAACCAGCACGGCCAAGTTCAAACTCCCACACAACTGCTCGAGCAACCGCCGAGTGACCCGGGAAACTGCCAAAGGTGAGACCACAGCCTCTGCAACATCTCCAGAGGAAGAAACATAGAAATGGTACGAGAGTCCCAACCAAGATCCAGCCATGTCCAAACAAGTTCCATCTGGTTCAAGGAACCAGATGGGACTTCCTCCAGTTCACCAGGAACCTGAACCCGGGGAGCTGGGAAAGAACCACACTCCTGGCGAGCAGACAAGAGGACCAGCTGGGAGCCCACACCAGCCAGTTGTTGAGGAAGGCCACGACTAGGACCCGAACCCCTAACAGACGAAGACGGGTCACCACGACCCGGGTAAGACGCATGAATACACGAGGTGACAGAAATCAAAAGGAAGGCAATGAAAGCGGTAAGCTTGACGCACCACCAGGAAACCTAGCCAGTTCCTGAAACCCAGATGAATAGGGATGTGCCAATACGCATCCTTGATGTCCAGGGACACCATCCAAGCACTCGGCTCTAAAAGAAGTCGGACCCGAGAGTGATCAACCGATATGAGGAGCAAGGAATCCCGGGGTTCAGACTGGACAAGTAGAAAAATGAACCACAAATCTGCACAGTTCCGTTTCAGCACTGGGAATAGGCGAGAAACCCACCTGAGGGACGAGTCATTTCGACAATGACCAAGTGCATCCACTCTATGATGACCTGACGAAGCACAGGGAAAGAAGCCTGCCACAAACCCCCCCAAAGGAGCCACCGCCCAACACCACCACAAGCCAGATGATATGACCGAAAACAAACAAATCGTGGGACCAAGCGTAAACAGAGTGAGCCTCCCCCCTTCCCCATCGCCCCATCAACAGGGCGAACCACGAAAGGGCCGATGCCCCTTACGAGAAGCCGGCCGATGAACAGAGGGATCATCACACCGAACAGACGACGCTGGGTCCAAAGGCAACGTTGGCTCAGATGCTGGCACCAACGGCCCACCTCGACCAGCGGAACCTCAAGCCCTGGCATGATCCTTCCATGAAGACCGAGAATGGCCTGGAGAAGCAACAAATGCAACAGAAGCTCAGGCAAATGTCTGAGCTGTCGAGGACAGCACACCAGACGAAGGCCCGGCACCCAACGCCTCCACATTCTCCTCAAGCCAGGTCGAAGACAGCAAGTCAAATACTCACGGGCACACACATCCTCAGCAACCATGGACGCCAAAAGAATAGGAACCTGCCCGTGCAGCTGCACGAGGCCAACATCTTGAGAAAGCACAGGGGCGAACAACCCAGCATTAAGGTGCTCCAACTCATTTCCCAGGTAAACTTGCAGAACAGTAGACGTTTCTCGCTACTCAAGTGAGCGGGACCGACAGAACCCATGCCATACCCCCAACAAAAAGAATGGGCAGTCTGCCACCCAGGAAGACTCCAGAACATCCAAATGCACCCAATACGGGAAAGAAGAACTGGTCTCAAATAAGGATGGATCCATCACGGAGGCGGAATCAGAGTCTCGCAGGAGATGCGCAGCAAGAGCCTCCCGAACCTCCCAAAAGGAAAATACAAGAGACAAAAAACCTCTGGAAGGACAGGGCTGAGGAACCCAAAGGAGCCCGGAACCGAACTAGGAGAGGAGCCGACCTCAAATCATACTCCTACAGGGAAGAGGGGTAACAAAACCCCTCCCCCTTGTAACAACAAGCCCTGCAAAGAGGGCACTAACACCCAAACGGGGTCAAAGGAGCCTAACAAGGGAGATCAAAACACTGAAATCCTTGTGACATGTACAATCACAGGGGGGCCTAGCAGAGGGCAACCAAAGTAACAGAAGTGGAACTATAGCCACACTAGGAAGACCCCCCACCAGGCAAGGAAAAAAAAAAAAATGCAAAAGTTCAACGTCCCCCCATGGAAACAGGAACCGGCCGCCACATAGGTAGGTAGGCTGCACAACCCCTTGATGCCCCAACCAGCACAATACCACTCCCTACCCAAGGCCAAGCAAGGGCCACGAAATCCCAGCTGGCCCCAAAGGCGGGGTAAATACCAAGCATCAAAAACCCCTACGGAAATGGTTTCCTGAACGCACCAGGGAAGGGAACCCTAATATGCAAGGGCTATATTCACAGGGCACCTAGGGAAGGATGTCTCTAAGCACATACAGCTTCAGCACTGATGAGGACACCTGGCCACCACACAACAACACTGCAGAGGTCGCCACGAAGGCAAAACACCGCCTATGGAAATCGAGGCCAGAGAAGACGTCTGCCCTCCAGACCACATTGGCTAACAAACTGGAGTGCTGGATAGCTGGGCGGGGAGGGGAGGGAAGGAGGGCTGCGCAGACGAGTGGCGCGGCAGTGGAGTGTGACGTACGTTTGTTTGCATTTTTCCTTAGGAGTGGAGCTAGTTCTGCCTCCATTTAGGTTTTTCTTTGTACTTTTCTTACCATGTGGGGTTTGTTTTGTTATGCCTTCCTTTCTGGGTGCCTAACCTTGGTCGATGGCAGATAATGGCCCTAGAAAACACCCTGGGATTGGGGGTTTTCCAGGGCCATTGCTTCCTGTAACCTCTCTGAGGTCAGGTTCTTGCTCGTGGTCCCCAGTAGATCGGACTCCATAGACTAATGCCCTGGTCTAATATATTACACATTAGCCTGATAGCTCTAGGGAAGCCGAAAGGGTTTCCCCACAGATAATGTATTTGTTATAACAAGGTCACTGGTGTTGAGTAAATAGAACAAATTCCTAGCATTTTGCCCAAAGGTCGCAAGACCTACCCTGGGGCAAGACCCGCCCTGCCGGCAGGACCCTCCCTTGGTCACGACCCTCCCTTGGGCAGGATTGCATAACCTGTTCTAGAGTACAATCACAGGACCCATCCAAGGGCACAATCACAGGACCCATCCAAGGGCACAATCACAGGACCAGCCATAGGGCACAATCACAGGACTCACCCTAGACCAGGATATTTACGTGAATGTGCGTGTGTATGTACATTAATTCAGTAATCTAATACTCACCATCATCATCAAGAGCTGCTAGGTAGTTCAAGAGCTCCAATGCCCTCATCAGTGTCTCGGGGGCTGGGGGATCCATGAAATCGAAATGAACTAAATCATCAATGCCCAACTTCTTCAGCTGCAGGACCACAGACCCAAGGTTGGACCTCAAAATCTCAGGGTATGTGTTGTCCTGTAAAATACATCAACCAGTCATAAAAATATAATGTAACACCTTTCTTTGCTAGTACGGCAGTTTAAAATAAATCCAATACTGTATGGAATGTCACAATAAGTAATCCTGAATGTTCTCTCACCAACAAGCTATTAAACAACCCCTCACATTAACACGCTACTCAAGCCACAAACATGTTACATTCAACTCAAACTTTAATAAAGATTCACAATGCTTTTATAATCTTCGTGGTGCGCAGCTAATAATAGTCGACAAAACCACTGTTTGCAAGAAAAACAACATTCAAAAAAAAAAATTTCTTCTAATAATTAACACTTTAATGCGCGCGGTACCCGCGAAAAAACTCTGCGCATTGTGCGCGCGGCGTTTTTTTCTCACGAGCGTAAACACCAAACAATGTGTAATCTTTTCACTCTCCTGACACCAATTCTCGAGCTACGTATTTCCTTTTGGTATCAATGTGTTGGCAATAAAATTCTCTACAAGATCATATGTATAAAATGTAACCAAAGCATTAGCTATTCCATCACGAAATAAATAAAAACGTAGATCACTTGCTGTCTCGCTGTACGCCCAAACAGCAACAAAATGTTCATACTCTTTTGTTTGTTGTCAGCTCCACATTAGTCCTACAGCGTTAAATTTTATATCACTGAACTCGCAATAAAATTCTCTACACAGACATATTCATATAAATGTAGAATCATGATCGCGGCCAACACAAGAGTGTGTGGAGTGGGCGATTACCCTCGTGTCACCAACTCAATAGTCTCTCCTCTAAGTTACAATACATTGCCGTTTTCTCAAATAGGCACTGTGCCTATTAGAGAAAACGGAAATTTAATGGCAAACATATTCATACAAACCCCAAGTCGATCGAGTAGTATATACCCACTATAACACGGACTGTAAATGTACGTCGTGATCCGACAAGCGCTTAAATAAACCGCCCGTACATCCAAGTGTAGATGGCAGAAAAGTGTTAAAATGCATTCTATGCTTACAGGGAAAAAACAAATCTTCTGCAACATATTTTGGCTCTGATAGGGTGAGGAAGTCTGGCATGATATTGATGCTGGCATGATATTTCCCCTGGAGCGGTCTGCTACAGCAAAGCTGTATGGCAGGAATTGCCACAGATATTACCTAATTATTTCAATGCCTCTTGATTGTATTTCAATCAATTGCTACTAGGTACAACATATATTATATTAAAACACACACACACTGGGGCCTCGACTTACGATGCTAATCCGTTCCCAGAGACGGATCGCAAGTCGAAATATCGGAAGTCGAAGCGATTTTTCCCATAAGAAATAAAGGGAATTGAATTAATCCGTTCCCCACCCTCCAAAATATTAACATACAAATACATTTTATACTGAATACAATGTTTTTTTCAAACTACAATACAATACCAAGTTTCTCTTACTTTTATGGAGGGCTCTTGATGGCGTATGGAAGATGGTGATGAGGGGGGAAGAGTAGTTGTTACTGTTTAGAAGGGGAGTCCCCTTCCATTATCACATCAGGCAGTGATGTTTTCTCTGGGGTACTCTCTCTCCTACGTTTTGCCTGAATACCACTAGGACCTGGTTGTGGTTCAGTGCTTGTTTGTCTCACTACAAATTTGTCAAGAGACATTTGTTTTTCTCTTCGTTTTAACATTTGTCTGTAATGATGTATCACAGTGTCATTGAATAGGTTAAGGCAACGACCTACTGCAGCTTGATTTGGGCGCGTCGTTTCAGCAAAGGTTTGCAATTCTTCCCATGTTGCACACATTTTCTTAATTGTTGAGGAAGACACATTCTGTACTCTTGTTTCTGCTCTATGGTCATCCTTACAAGGGTTTTCATATGTTGAGCCTTACCACTGACTTTCCTGGGACTCATGGCGTGATATATAATAATTACTTTAATGTTCGAAATGCAAAAAATCACCACAAAAGCGGAATTTCTTATAGGCGCGATCGTCACTAAGCGGGCAGCTGTAGTAAACAGAGGTAGGTTGGCCGCGTGACCGGGAACCACGCTCTTGGTCGACCCGAACGTGTACCAACAAATATCGGAAGTCGACAACACCCTCGGATGTCAAGTCGCATTTTTCGATGAAATTTACATCGTAACTCGAAATTATCGTAAGTAGGGGCAATCGTATGTCGAGGTGCCACTGTATATATATATACAGTATATATTTGCACACTGGTAGGGTTAATTATGGCCATATTTCTCGTCTCTCATGTCTTAGCATTATCCTACATTTATATTAACCCAGTGACTAGTTACCTTCTAAACCACTAAATCAAACTACTCATTTACACATACAGTATAAGCATTTATTATCAATAATAAGCACTTGCCTGCATTTCACTTTTGAAAGCTTTCTCTGTATACAAGCGGAAACATTTGCCAGGTCTGGTTCTCCCAGCACGTCCTGCACGTTGCTGTGCCGATGCTTTACTGATAGGGGACACCAATAATGACTCTACACGGATGCGAGGGTTATATACCTGGAAAAAATTAAACATTAATATCTGGCTAGGGTGAACAATACAGTATACACAAACTACAAAATTATATACAAAAAAATTATGTGTAAAAAAAAAAAGCAATATAAATTACCTTCTGCTTGGCAAATCCGGGATCAATTACAAACACAACTCCGTCAATAGTCAACGAAGTCTCGGCTATGTTTGTTGAAACCACTACTTTACGACCAATTGCCCCATTTTGTTTATTTGGAGGTGGTGGTTCAAATATGCGCTGTTGAAGATTAGGAGGAAGTGTCGAGTATAAGGGAATACACTTAAGATCCCCGACATCTGGACCAAGTGCATCCACCTCTCGCTTAATACGCTTGCATGCCTCTTCTATCTCCTCTTGACCAGTGAGAAATAGCAAGACATCACCTGGTATTTCTTCACATATGTGGATCTGTGGATGAGGTTTGTAAACTAAATACATCATAATTGTAAATGTCAAAAATTTGATAAAAAGAGCAAGCAGCAATTAATTTAGATGCTACCCACCTATGAGCAAAAGTTCTTCATATAATTATTAATTTTACTGCAAAATGTTTGGAAAAGTAGAAATAAACTGAATATCTACTTTTGTGACCTGTTCTGTGAACTGAGCAAATTAACCGTAAGGTGGGTGTGTGTGGCGGCCCAGCCCCATCTCTCAATGCCAGCAACACACACAGCCCAAGGCACAATGTTGAACTTGCATGTCTGGACAGTCATATGTATGAATGTATGCATCAATGAATATATATGTACCATTTAATGTATCAATGAATTATGAATGTATTCACCTAATTATGCTTGTGGGGGTTGAGCTTAGGGTATTTTGCTCTCTCATCTCTACTGACAGTCAAGTGATGTACAGGTTCCTGAGCTTATTGGGCTCTTATCATAACTAAGATCTGCAAGTACAGTCTGCCTCCACCACATCACTTTCTAATGCCTTCCATTTATTGATAAATAATGGCTTATTTAGGTACTCTGTTTCCACCTGTGTTCCTTAGTACGAGTACCGCCTGTGTTAACTAATGTCTTTATCTACCCTTTCAATGTCCTTTGTTCTGCTGGCATTCAGAGTGAACATTTTGTCTATTTCCACTCAGTCAATCCCTTTAAGTATTTTATATGTTCCTATCATATCTCCCTGATCCCTCCTTTTTTCTAGCATCATCAGGTTCTGTTCAGTTCCAGAACGTCATAATCCACCCTCAACTCTGGAAGAGCCTTGTCGCAAACTTTTGAAGTTTTTCCAGTTTCCTTATGTGTTTCTTCAGGTAGGGGCTCCATGATGGAGCTGTAACAGTGTAAGTGTTTTACACTGTTCCATGTTAAAGTGGAAGTGTAAAATACTCTGCCACCTCCCCCCCAACCCCCAACCCCTCACTCCCACCCCGGATGGGGAATCTGTGTTGAGGTCCACTCCTTTTGCAAGACTGCCTAAATCCACAAGACAATGCCCCACTGTGGGGAAGGCTGTACTACTGCCTCTTGACCATATAAGGACTGAAACATGCTAAACTGACTTACAGGACCATGCTCTCAAGCCAGTACAAGAGGCTGTTGCTAAGAGTACTGCTGACAACAGGTTCAAGCCAGCATCTAGCTCACTCTTCCTCACCTCACTCTCTACTAAACACGTACACATGCACACATACAACTCACAATTATAACATGGAACAGTGATCATGTTTATATTATCATGTTATCATGATAATATAAACAGAGCGGCATACTTTGGTCTCAAGTGAGGCAGTGAGACCAGTCTAGCACTCTAAATGCCTCCTTACTTAGGTTTCAGAATGATGTTCTAACCTTTGCTAGCGTAGAGTACACTTCTGTCGCTATCCGATTTGTGTGTGTCTCAGGAGTTAAGAGTTGATGTTACGTTCACCCCCAGGTTTCTTTCCGGAATATTCACAGGTATGTAGTTTCCCTTCATTGTGTACTGTCCCTTTGGTCTCTTGTCATCTAGTCTCATTTCCATAACTTTACACTTGCTCATGTTAACCCCCCTTAGCTATTTGTTTAACAATCTCAGCAACTTGTTCAAGTCTTCTTCGAGGATCCTGCAATCCTCACCTGTCACAATTTGTCTCATAAATTTCGCGTCATCCGTAAACATCGACATATAGAACTCAACTCGTGTAGACATGTCATTTACATATATTAGAAAGAAAACTGATCCCAGCACCAATCTTCGAGGTACTCCACCCATTACTGTTCACCAGTCCAACTTCTCGCTCCTTACTATTACTGTCTGGCTCCTGCCTATTATGTAATTCCTTAACCATGCTAGGGGCCCCTCCACTTACTCCTGCCTGCCTCTCAAGTTTGAACAGCAGTCTCCTGTGCTGTACTGTATCAAAGACTTTTGATATACATTGTGCTTTTTTGTGCATGTGTGTCTTTGCTATTTGTGCCTGAAGAATCGAACTATTACAATTGGCGATTCACAATTTTTGTGTGCTACGTAAGAACTTCAGCTAACATGGATAGCAGTGAAACTCACATAAGATCCAAATTAGTGGGCAATCTCTGAATTTTGTAACACGCTAAAAATTCTCACCTGTATAACAGTTCTAATGGCAGCTTCTAGGTAATCCCTCTCAGGCTCTGGAGTATAGAATATTTCAACAGGATGAGTACGGCCAGGAACATTCAACAAGGGAGCTTTGTCAAAGTAGTGTTGAAATTTTCCAGCATCCAAGGTGGCTGACATGACAACAAGTTTGAGGTCATTTCTTTGTTTCAAGACCTCTTTCAAGACACCCATTAAGATGTCCGTGGCAAGTGTCCGTTCGTGAGCCTCATCAAGCAAAATTACCTGTAAAAATAAAATTAACCACTGTAATAAGCGGAAATGAACTAAATCACAGTGCAACACCAAACCATGACAGGATAAAGGAAACACGATGCACCGAACTTCCATATAACGCTCAACATCGAAATATTATTTGAAACTATTTCCATTAGTGATCCCAGAAAGAAAGTTATCTCAGGGCTGGCATACCTCAGCGTATGACAGTGGTGTATTGAAAACAGGAAGTTCAGGAAATAAAATAAGTACAGGTTGGCATAATATCCACATCATTTTTGTAATAAGCAGTCTGGTCTAATGTATACCAGATTTTTGTAATAAACACTGGTTTACTTAATAAACCAGTGTCTATTGTAGTAAAAATATTGTAATAAGCCAAAAACAATAACTTTTGCAATAAACACTAGGAGAGGAAGTAGAGCCCCAACGACCATGCAGAAACCAGAGAAGCAGCACTGAGGCAGCCTGAGAACAAGCCAAGTATATCCACTTCTCGAGTTACTTGCACAATAATAGTCCCCTATTAATTGGGGTGATCACACTTGTTTGTTCACCACCACGTTCATTGCTGTGCGCCCCCTACTCGCTACTCTGTGGAGTCCTCTTTTGCTATTATTCCTGCTACCTCTACCATACTGATTTATCTTGCCATACCCAAGCTATTTTTTCACACACCAATAACACACTTCTCGTGTGCAAATTAAAGCGAACATTTAAGTATTTACTATGAATAAACTCTAGAATACATTTATTGTCTATGATATAACGGGTACAATTGCAAGCTTCATGTTAATCCCAACTTTTTGGGTGTTTGACAGTATGAAAGTTGCAATACAAAACTTTATTTTCTCTAATTTAGGTATTTAATTTTGTTTTCATTACCCTGTCTACCACTGTCAAAGTGAGGAAGCATCATCCCAGCAGGAGAGCAAGGTGGTGACAAACATAAATTAACAACATTGTATAGTGAAAGAAGGCAATAGAAAATTAAAAACTAAAAATATACCTCCAATGTTCATTATATCCAGCAGCACAACTTCCAACATAAATATCACCTGAAGTCAACTCACCTGATAGTTTTCAAGCATGGGATCACTCATAGCTTCACGCAATAACATACCATCAGTCATATACTTGAGGACAGTTTTGGAAGAAGAACAATCTTCAAAACGGATGGAATAACCAACTTCCTGTCCCAGAGCAACATCCATTTCCTGCAAACATACATACACCATTAATGTATCCCAGACAGTAAATTCATAAAAAATAGTACTACTATAAATTGGGTAATTTAAATTAATACTTGCATAGTACTCGAGCACTGTAAAAATTGATGAATAACTAGTCAGTAAAATAACATTCACTCCCTTGGTATTGACACCAGAGTACCGAAACAAATATGGAGGAAAAAAAAAGGTGGCTGGAAATTACATAAATTATGATTAGCAGAGACAATTTGAAAATGTCACTGATAACATCCAAATAGCACTTAAGGTTAATACATAGCCATATCAGAAAGTCAACTGTAAGGAACAGACACTATAATAAACATTCACCCACACACACCAATATATCTTCACCCATTAGTCTCTTACACTTTATCGCTGTCTGAATGTTTTTAATATTAAATGTGAAATGGAAAGGATCATGAACATAAAAATCAAATGCATTCCACTACATTAGAAAAAAAACATTTTGCAAACTAAACAAAATATGCACAAGTAGTCTTAAAGTTTTACATTTACAGTACTACTACTGTCATTCACTACAAAATAACCTCTCACATTTTCCAAAATCTATCCACTAAAAGAACTACAATCGAGACAAAAAAATTGAACACCTCATTAACTCACCTCTGCAACTCGTTGGGCAACGGACATGGCAGCTACTCTTCTTGGCTGTGTACATGCCACTGCTTTTTTGCCTCTAGCACGTGCAAATTCAACACACCACTGTGGCATTTGTGTAGTTTTACCAGAACCTGTTTCACCGACTAACACTATAGTTTGGTGGCGATCCAACAATTCAAAGAATTTGTTCCGATACTCCCACACAGGAAGGCCAATTCTTTTCCTGCAATATATACATTACAGTAAATAGAAATTTCATATACCATACTTTAAGTACCTATTCACCTACTAGAGTAGGTAAACAATATATACGTGCACCTAGATAGTCAGCAGGTATTCCCGGCTTTTCACCTATAACTTTAATCATAATTTAAATGAGCAACAAAAATCTTCCAGCATACATTTCACAAACTTCCAAGCATGTACAGGGTAAATTTCAGTACTCTACAGTGCACATGGCCCTTAATTTTGAGCAGGGACTAAGTTTCTGTAATGTAGCACAAATCATAACTTCAAACTTAAAAGTACAGTACTGTATATGGGAAAAATAAGGTTGGGGTTGGAATACTTGCTGGCAAACCCCCAGTCCCCCCCCCCCTCTCTCACTTACACCATTCCCCCTCACCTCTCCCTCCTCCCTCTTTTCATATAGGAATTACAATACTAATGACACTTCTCATTACTAGAGAATTTTCAAGAATGATGTCTACCGTCAAGATTACAATGTGGAAGAAATTGTTTATAAAAAAAAAAAGTGTTTAATGTAATGAAACGCCATTTTCTGGGTGAGCCCCAGAGACTCCCTGGATCTATAGGACTGATGTACGCTATATTAGTCTGGGGCTTCAGTCAATGGAGTCCTGCCTACCAGGAACCAGGAGCCAGATTCACGAAGCAGTTACACACAAGCACTTACGAACCTGTACATCTTTTCTCAATCTTTGGCGGCTTCGTTTACAATAATTAAACAGTTAATGAGCTCTGAAGCACCAGGAGGCTGTTTATAACATTAACAGTTTATTGGGAAGTTTTCATGCTTGTAAACTGTTTAATAAATGTAAACGAAGTCATCAAAGATTGAGGAAAGACGTACACGTTCGTAAGTCCTTGCATAACCACTTTGTGAATCTGGCCCCAGAGCCGGAACCTGCCCCTTCCCCCTCAGGAAAGCACAGGGAGCAATGGCTTAAGGAACCATCTTGCATTTGGGGGTATTCCTTGTCTGCCATCAACCGGGGTTAGGCACCCAGAAAGGTAGGCATCTCAAAAACCCCCATATGGCAGAAATTGAAAAGATTCAAGACCGAACAGAGAAATAGAACTTCCGAAAAGGAAACGGAAACCAGCAAAGAAGCAATTGTCATTTACTGCTACTACGCAGCCCTTCCCTCCCCGAGAGGGGAAGGGGGAACCCCGGACCCACATGCCGGCCCCTCACACCTCAGTTTGGAGGCTGACCATCAAAAAACAAAACCACCGACCGAAGGGAGGGAGGGTGCCCAGGACAAGTTGCCAGACACCTCAGTCAAAGTAGCATAATTACGAATGTCATGGGCACGAGGGTAAACCTCAGGCTGGCAAGACTTAATATAATAATCCTGCAGACGACCTTAGAGTCTCAAGCCCTGGAACAGGGAAAGAAATTGAATCAGCCCAAAGGACGTCCCTGGCCCCAGAGGCCGAGGCGCATAGGTAACAGCACAGAGCCGCAACTGGACACGACACATGATGCACTCCCGGCCTGACCAACCAAGCATAAAACCAGCGTTGAATGTAATGAAACGCCATTTTCTAGGCGAGACCCGGAGGCTTCCCGGAGCTACCAGGCTGATATGTCTATTATTAGACTTTGGCATCAGTGTGAATGGAGTTCTAGGTCTACTGGGGACCACAAGACAGAACCTGGCACCCCTCAGAGGAACGAGGAGTAAAGGCTCATAGAAGTGCACATGTGTTTGGAGCATTCTATATCTGCCATCGACCGGATTGGGCACCCAGAAAGGTAAGTACAGTACCTTAAAACAAATCCCTATTCTGGTTAAAGCCACTACTGAAAGCTAACAAGTGGACAGAACGTCATGGGCACGAGGATAGACTGTAGGCTGGCTGGACCAAATAACCCTGCGGATGACCTGGATGACCTGGATGACCTGAGAGACCTGAACCCTAGAACAGGGAAGAAGGGAAACTGGATCAACCCAAAGTGCATCCCCGTTCACAGAGGCCGTGGCGTGTAACTGACGGAGGAGAGCCACAACCGGACACAACACATGATGTTTGGTTGGTCAGCCCAGGGGTGCATCAACAACCCAAGGCCCCTCCGGAATGCAGCGGTCTCTTTCTTCGCCAGAAAAGGAGACGGCTGCAACCGAACAAACCTATCACCTTGACCAAAAGAGCAGAAAACCCTGTGCTGGAGGAGAGCATGAATCTCCCCGACCCGACCCCCAGAGGCCAATGCCAACAAGAAAACGGTTTTGGAAAAACAATCCTGAACCGAAGAGGCCACCACAAACCAAGGAGAAGAGATATAGGAGAGAACCCGATCCAAAGACCAGGATGGCTCAAGTGGCACATGAGCAGGCCAGAGGTGAAAAAACGCATGAGACAGCTTGCGAAACGGAGCAGAAGTACTGTAATATCAATACCGAATGCAAGTTGCAGCGGCTCCGCCAATGCTGCACGATACGAGGCGACAGTATTCTGCACAAGATGACGGTTCTGAAACAACCATGACAGAAAGGACAAAACAACCTTAACCGAAAGCATAGTACAACGACGAAAAGACAAAATAGAAACAGAAGGACCGCCAGGAAACTTCATACTGCTGCCGGACAAAGCCCGCAGGTGGGACATCATCAAAGAAGCACACTGATCACCATACAGATGGTGATAGACTCGAGTCAAAAAGACCAAACGCGAAGACTCGAAGAGAAGATCAAACAAGTCTCGTACTGGACCAGACCGATCTGCTAAAAGAGGCAGAGCCACGGGAAAACCTCTGGGTTCAGACACCGAGCATGCAGCGCCTGAAACCAAGGCTGGGCCAGCCACCATGGGGCCAAGAGGACAACTCTCCCCCGGTAAGTTTTCAAGTGAGCTAGAACCTGGAGCAATAGCGGAACCGGGAGAAAGAGATACAAGAACCCCCACCTCGACTAGTCCTGCCGGAAGGCATTGATCCCAACAGCCTCACAGTTGGGGAAGGTTGCCACATACACCGGAAGATGCCTTGACCATGCCTTGACCATGCCGATGCGAAGAGGTCCACCTCCGGGCACCCGAACGATGGGACTTCCTCCAGTTCACCAGGAACCCGAACCCGGCAAGCTGGGAAAAAACAAAATCCCTGGCAAGCAGACATGTGAATCGACTGGGAGCCCATGCCAGGCAGTCATCGAGGTAGGCCAACACCTGAACACCTAAAAGAGGCAGACAGGCCACTACGACCCGGGTAAGGTGTGTGAATACGCGAGGAGCCAGGTTCAACCTGAATGGGACACAACGAAAGCGGTAACCGAGACGCCCCACTACAAAACCAAGCCAGTCGCTGAACCCCGGATGAATTGGGATGTGCCATTACGCGTCCTTGAGGTCCAGGGACACCATCCAAGCAGTCGGCTCCAACAGAAGCCAGACCTGGGACAGTAGTCATCCGAAAAGAGGGGCAAGAAACCAAAGGGTTCAGACGGGACAAGTCCAGAATGAACTGCAAGTCTGTAGTCCTGTTTCGGGACTGGAAACAAGCGAGAAACCCACCTGAGAGATGTTGTCGTTTCGACCACACCCAAGCGCACCCACTCCGAGATGACCTGACAGAGCGCAGGAGAAGAGGCCTGCCTCGTTAGCCCCGAACCCCCCGAAGAAAGAGGTGCCAACCAATACCACCGCAGGCTGTCGGAAACGACCCAAAAAGCCCACAAATTGTGAGACCAGGCATGAGCGAATAGAGCAAGCCTCCCTCCCCCTCCCCATCACCCCTTCAATAGGGGGAGAACCGCGAAAGGGCCAACGCCCCTTACGAGAACCCGACCAGTGCACAGAGCGATCACCAAGCCGACCAGACGCAGACGGTTCCGTAGGCGGCACCGGCTCCAAAACCAGCACCTGTGGCCTACCCAGACGAGCGAAACCCCGAGCCCTGGCACGAACCTTCCGGGAGGAATCGAGGGATTCCGACATCGGATGACAACTAACCATGGCCTCCTGCAGAAACTGCCCAACCACAGACTCTGCAAACAGCAAAGGACAAAAAGGCGAAGAAACTGTGAGCCAGGGCCCAAGCAGATTCCAAAGAGGAAGTGAGCTCAATCTGCTGACAGTGAAATGTGTGAAAGGAAAATCTGAAACCAGCGATGCAGATATTAAAAGCAATTAAGGCGAGCAGGGGATGGTCTCGCCTCCAACCCCCCCTCTTCCTGACCCTCCCCATACACCAACACCCCTCCTCCCTCCCTCCCTCTCTCCTCACCCTCCCCATACACCAACACTGCTCCTCCCTCCCTCCTCACCATCTCCCATACACCAACAAGTCCTCAATAAAATGCAGTTAAATATTCACTTATTTTATTTATGGTTTATATTTATACTCGATTGTTTTGTGTATGAAAAATATGAGTAGTATTCTGCGTAAAATGAATTTTTAAGTTAATATTTTTGGGTGTGTGGAACGGATTAATTAAATTTACATGCTTCTTATGGGAAAATGTTTCAGTTTACGAATTTTTCCGTTTACGAACCGTCTCTGGGAACGGATTAAATTCGAAAACCACTGTATATCAGTCCTATAGCTCCAGGAAGCCGAAGGGGCACTTCCCGCAGAAAAGTTCTTATATCTGAGGAATGAGGCGAGTATAGTTTTGGCATTTTTTACTATTTTAGACAAAATGCCAGGGGCAGTTGTGATAATTTTCAAGGGAATCAGATTTTAATGAGTTTGGTCAAGTATCTTACAGGTAGTGAACTATACTGTTAGCCAGAATATGGCTGACCTCCATTAACTACATATATTTTGTTTAACAACATCGTTTGTAAAATGATTTTGTTATACAAGATCAGGCTAATGGCTACAAAATTAGGCTAAAAAATACACCAAGATATATTTCAGCACTTACTATACTAGTACTAGAAGGAGTACTTGGTGGTGCCCAGGATAGTCTCTCTTCTCCCACCCCACATTTCACCCTTCTTTCCCCCACTCTGCACATCTCCCCTCCCCATTCCTCCCCTCTTTCCCCACTTTTCTACCCCTCATACCCTCTCCCCATCTTCCCTCCTATTCCTCTCTACCTCCTACCCAACCCTCTTTTTCCCCCTTCTCCATCTGGCCTCCAACCTCAAAAAAGACAGATTTCCATTTGAGATATAGATATACTGTATATTATATATAATATATGTATATATATATATATATATATATATACAGTATATATATAAAATTATACACACACACACACACACAAGGGGTACCCAGCTAGACCCAGACCCCTTCCCCCTTGCTGGGAAGCTGACTTGACTTGCTGACTGAGTGGGAAGCTGACTTGCTGACCCTTATTTCCACCCCTTCATCTGCCTGCCTGCCATTTCGTCCCTCCCCTTGTCCTCTGCAAAATCCCACTCTCCAAATGATGGTCAACAACGACCATTTTAATGGAAAAAATGTGTAACTTTTTATTGCTAGTCTTGACAATTAAAATCCATTATCAAAATAAAAGCCTCTTACCTGTATAACTCATAGTATCTTGGAGTGTATGGCAGGTTTGTGAAGGGATTAAGAGACATTGCAACAGCTCCTCTTTGGACACTGGCTGGGAGATTTACCCCTGGTTTTATTGGTTCACAAGCTCTCGCTGAAGTGGCATTGAAGTTTGTGCCACTGCTGTACCCACTCTCTCGGTCACTCTCTCGCTCATAGTCAGGAGCATATCTGAAAAAATATTACTCATTAAAAACATGAATAAAGGTTAAAACACTGGCAATGAATAATATAAAAGAATTAAATTTTAATAACCAAGTAAATTGGGAGATACACCCTAGAATGTTAGGTTAGTTGTGAAGGTGCAAGCACATAGGCATGCATGCATGCACGCACACGCATTACACTTGGGTAATTACACACACACACACACACACACACTGCCTTTACATCCATACTTTCACACATTAAGTGCTGTAATCCAATATTCAAAACCCAATTAAGACAATGGGACATAGTGGCTGAGAAGCGGATAACAGAGATGCTTAAGGATACAAAGTGACATACATTAATCAAGACATGTCTAAGGATGAGAGGTGGAAAAAAAAAAAGGCCTAGTGGGCAAGACAAAATGAAAATTCTGAACATGTAATGTAATCACTGGGTACCTCCAGGTATGGTATAACAAATACTAATTACAACAGAAGAGCAAAATGCTGCTCTAGCCTCTTAACCACTGTGATGCGCGGCAATCATTGTGAAATTCACCCTGTGCACAGAAAATCAAGTGTTAGCAAAAAAAAATATATATATATAAAATGATAAATTCCCTTTCCTGAACATGTACATGTAAAAACAATATCAAATTTCACTTTGGCTGTGGGAACATGGACAAAGTCGTGCGTGACATCACTGGCTTGGCTAACGCGCAGGCCATTCAAGCCTAGCGAGTTGCCACAAATATACAGTACAGTAATTACAATTATATTTCTATCTATTTTCAATGCTTTATAATTAGTTTTTTTATCACATATGATGCACATTTGTGTCCTTTACAATAGGTATACAGTAGAACATTTATAATGTTCCATGGAACTGTGGTACATGTGTCAGTAATGTATCCACAATGTTAATGTATCGCAATATTACTTTTTCAAAATACTGTACTGTACACTAAAATTACAATACAGTATGTACAGTTTCACACATTATTTACACAATAACACACTGTATTATACACTCAGTACTTCAGAAATGAGTGATAATCAAAGAAGCATTCCATGTTACACAGCACAACTTCTCTCTCAATGTACCAGGTACAAACAGATTTTTGCTTCCTGTTTCTTCGTTCTGTGTGCTTTTGCAAATAACGAAATCACATAAACCCTTGATTTTAGTACCTGTAGGTGGTACTGTATGTAAACAAGCTTGTGAAATGTAAGGTAGTCTTGAAAAGATTATTGGAAAAGATCAATTTGTAAGGTAGTCTAGAAAAGATTGCTTTGTTAGGAAGGATTGAAAAGATTCAAGTATTCTGGAAGAGTTTCAGATATTCTGGAAGATTCAGCTATTCTTGAAAAGATTGCTTTGTAAGGCTATCTTGAGATTACCGATTACTTTGAGTTGATTTCGGGGCTTAGTGTCCCCGCGGCCCAGTCCTCGACCAGGCCTCGTTTTTGTAACACCCCCCCCCCAAGAAAGCAGCCTGGAGCAGCTGTCTAACTCCCTATTTATGTTACCTATTTACTGCTAGGTAACACAGGCATCAGGGTGAAAGAAACTCTGCCTATTTATTTCCACCTCCACCGGAACCCAAAACCTCAGGACTATGAATCCGAAGCGCTGTCCACTCAGCTGTCAGACCCATTTATGTAGGAATAAAAGAATCCAGATATTCTTGGAAAGATCTAGGAAAAGCTCAATGACAAAATTCTGTCCTTATTCATATCATTCATATCTTCACCTGTACATGGGAATGAGGGTGAAACACCAACATCAGAATCATCACATTGTGGTTTGCTACAAAATTATCACAGTCCTCCCTCACAAATTCACCTACACTCCTTGAATTGCCACCACCATCACTGACAATAAACACCACCATGGAAGCTGCTATCACACTGTTCATCTATGCTACTTGTATCAGATGCATCATCACTGAACCCAGAGAACAATTCATATTTATATCTATAAAAAGTGGAGGTAACACAGATGAGCATGGATGGCATTCAGCTACTACTGGAATACGCTCGCTGTATCATCCTCATCGATGCTGTATCACTTGTATCAGATCCTTATGTTAGGTCCTTATTGTGCCTAGCTTCATCAATATCATGACCCTTATATTCTTCAAACAACAGAGAGCGATCTTTCAACACAGTGGCCGACAGGTGTTTGGGAGCCATAGGCACATGCGCCACCCATGGTTGCTCACTCAGAACTGAGCCAGCCAGCAGCCCTAGGGCACTCTGGGAATATTTTCCAAGATGGCTGCCTCTCACTTGAGGTCCCAAGAGTTTATTTCGTACCCAACCAACAGCTTGTAGATTTTGAATGGTATGAAATCTTAAATTGGTGTTTTCTCAGCCAGTACAGGTTCGGGCTAACGAGTTTTCTCGGCCAGCACAGTACAGTGGTTAAACCTTTCATTATGACTCAACAACGACCCTTACTCCTCAAACCCAGACCGTGTTGACCCCATCACATCTACTATTACAAGATTTCTCTCTTGTTTCTACTTCATTCCAAGGAGTACAGTACAATTTGAGTGCTTTCAGACGGTCACATTTATGGTTCGATTGATTTTATGTGGGCAGTAAAAGTTTTTTTATTATTATTAGCCCTGCTATCTAACTTTAACCTGCCTTAAAGGGGATGCAAGGACCAAGCAATATTCCATTAGATATCATAAGTGCTCTGAGGAGTACCATCACGGGTGAGGCATTCCTTGTTTTAAATGCTGTACTGTATTCTCATTATTAACTATAATTTAATTATAACTATAAAAAAAATGCCAGTGGTATTTTGCACTCCTTAATAAAATAATGAATGCCAGGACTGTGGCACTGGTGGTGAGTGCATAAGCATACTGTCTGTTCCCCTTTCAAAGGCTGTGGGGTTTGTTGTAATAATAATGTTAGCAGTCTCCGTGGTGTAGTGGTAAGACACTCGCCTGGCGTTCCGCGAGCGCTATGTCATGGGTTCGTATCCTGGCCGGGGAGGATTTACTGGGCGCAATTCCTTAACTGTAGCCTCTGTTTAACGCAACAGTAAAATGTGTACTTGGATGAAAAAACGATTCTTCGCGGCAGGGGATCGTATTCCAGGGGCTTGCCCGAAACGCTACGCGTACTAGTGGCTGTACAAGAATGTAACAACTCTTGTATATATCTAAAAAAAAAAAAAAAAAAAAAAAAAAATATAGGAAACCTAGCCGAGGAGTGGGCCGCGGGGGTGTTGGTCCCCGAAATCATTGCAAGATAAATCATCGCAAAGTAAACTGCCACACTGCAATCTGTTGAAAAGTTTAAAATGCACCTCCCTACTTTACCCATTATAACCTAATCTTTAAGTTTATGGGTTATAACTCCATGGTCACATTTATTTAATGCTTTTGCAAAATCTATGTACTGTACTGTATTTGATATCTACATTTTTGTTTCTTCTAATGCCTTTTGTCATTGATCAAGTACTGTACTGTGGTTGAGAAAGACAAGATCTTCCAACTGTAAAGATGTTTTCTTAACACCATCAAGAAAACCTTTATGATGGAGGGGTCAATGCAACCAATCTGAAGTTGAAGAAATCCTGTGTGTTCAGAAGCACACATGATATCTGTACTCACCTAATTGTACTCACCTAATTGTGCTTGCAGGGGTTGAGCTTTGGCTCTTTGGTCCCGCCTCTCAACTGTCAATCAACTGGTGTACAGATTCCTGAGCCTACTGGGCTCTATCATATCTACATTTGAAACTGTGTATGGAGTCAGCCTCCACCACATCACTTCCTAGTGCATTCCATTTATTAACTACTCTGACACTGAAAAAATTCTTTCTAACGTCTCTGTGGACGCATGATATCTGTGTGAATTTGTAGTTGTTTGCTAATGCTTCACTACCTTCCTTGTGTAGTGAAACAATATCTGCAGTTTTTAGTATCTGTAGGATGTCACCAGTCTCCAGGCATTTTACTCATGTTGTACAGAGTGCCTGTGCCAATGGTATTTTGCACTCCTTTATAAAACAATGAATTCCAGGAATGTGGCACTGGAGATAAGTGCACAAGCATACTGTCTGTTCCCTTTAAAAGTCTGTGGGATTTGTTTTAATAACCAACACATGCCTTTTAGTGTGAGCCGAGTTTATGAAAAGTTATCACACTGCAGTATTTTCATTGTCTACTGCTGGTATTTGAAGGCTCAGTGCAGTACATAATTTCAACATACCTGTAACTACGAACCAAAAGATTTTTATGATTATTTAGCTAGTGAATCTACTTTCCAAAAGTCTCTTTTCATAAAAATTTTTTAATGTTAAACACAAACACACAAAATTTTAACCACGTCACATTCCAAAGTCACAGGTCACCGGACCAGGCTACAGGAATTCATTACTAACCACTTCTTATAGGCTGTTGCAGTGGTTTCTGATGTTACTTATGTATTCAAAGTAAAAACCTTAAATTTAAACATTGTATGGTACAGATTGCAAATACTTCCCTGTATATCAGGTACCTGTTTAGTGCTAGGTAAATAGACACAACAGGAGTAAGGAAAATGTCCAATCAATGTGAACAGTTCACAGACTCCACTACAAGTCACTATTAAACATTTTTGTGTGCCTTGGATGTCATTTATTTCATTTGAGAATTAGCTGAATGATTAAACAAATATCGTACTTCATATTGTTAGCATTGTTGTACATCTATTACACAATATACTTGACACATTCATAATGTACATCATCGGTTAAGGCTTTGAAATTCCTCAGCGACCATCTTGTATCCGAAGTGAGCCGTCTCCCACGAATCCCTGCCGCAACCCCCCCCCCCTTTTCAAAATTTCTTGTATCATGACTGCAGTGGGTTTCAAGTTATTTAATAAAACATATCATTTACCAACAAATTGTGTGTTGTATCAACACCTACCTTACCTGGATTATAACTGGAATGGGTTCTAAAGTTCTATTCCCCAAGCCTACTGTGATAACTTGGTTGGCTGTTGCTTGAAGCGGCCAGAAGACCCAAATATTGCCTATAACTTAAGTTTGTCTGGCACAATAAACGCAGGAACGTCTATTTTTTTTTCTTGAATACATCCACTTTTGTTCCGGCAATATTTCTTATGTTTGGTGGTGGGGGGGGGGGAGTGAAGTCATAAACCTCTGATATTAGTATATCATAGTATTCTCTGTGCCTATGGAGCCTCTACTCTTCACTGGGTCTATTCTGCATTTTCCACAGTCATTCACTCCATATGTTGAAATTTTACTGTGCAAATTGGGGATCTGGCCTTGCAGCATTGTCCCATGTACAGTGTACTGTACATATTTTATGTGATACTACTCTCATCTCCTTGTTAGAGAATAGATTTTGAGAGCTTTGAGACAATCCCAGTAATTTAGATACAGTACTTTATAGAAGCAGCATTGTGGTGCAATCTCTGGAAATACTTGAAGGTTCTCATAAACTAACCAATCATTTTTCTGGCTAATGTTATACTAGTATTTGCCTTTGTTATGCTCACTAAACGTTGGGTAATCTGACATTACATATTCCCAGATCTTTTAAATGCCGTTTTCCTTCTATGAGATCCATTGTCTTTTAACCTGTATTTCGTTTTGTTCTTATTTTTCCCATACCTATCTGGAATTTATCACTTTAAACATCCTGTTATTTTTTGTTGCCCAATCGAAAACCTTATTAATATCAGATTGTAATTTTTCAGTGTCTTCTATAAAAGTAATTTTCATACCGATTTTGTATCATCTGCATAACATGACGAAGCTGTGACTTGTAATTCTGTCTATGCAGTACCTGATATGAGTGACACAAACCAGTAGTATAAGGCGTGTCCTAAGGTACAAAGCTTTTACCTAGGGAATATCCATCACCATATTTTACCTAATTAAGCCCAACCCAATCTAGCCAAGCCTAACCTACCAAACCTAGCCTAAATTAATCCAGCCGGTTACTAGACATTCACTAATGAATTTTAAAACCTAATGATAAAGTTTCAAGTCAGAAAATGAGCTTTGGCAAAGTGCCTGCATGCTAATTGACTATACCCCTACCAGCCTAACACTCCTTCATAACTTAGCATAACCAAATTCTGCCTAATGCAACCCAAGCTAACCCCACCTAGTATAACCTAATCCAGCATAACATAATGGAATACAAGGTTTTAACTGGAAACCTAGCGGTGAGCAAACCTTCAGTTGTCTTCATAATATCATACCCCTAAGCTTTATCGAGGCTCTCCCGTGAATGATGACACACAACAGAACAACTAGTTTAGATTGGAAAAGGCTCTTGGTGAATACTTCTGTAATAGCTACAGTTATGGGACAAATTGCCGGGTAATTTATCTGGCATGGATCCACTAAATTATTTTTAGCAGAGGTTAAAAATATACTTTAGTGAATGTTGTTGGGTGCAAATAGGAGCTGCTAAGATATGAACCAATAGGCCTTCTGCTGTTACTGTTCTTTTTATTTTAGTGAAATGGGGACACCCTACTTAGCCCACGATACGGGTATTCTCTGCGTGGAGGGTACTCTAAGTTGCACCAACTATACCAGGATGTTTAGTCACACCTTAACAACTCTTGCAAGAATGTAAGAACCTTGTCAAATACTTAACATTAAAACGAGTGGCAGATATAGACAAAACCTCACCATCACGGCAACTGGAGATGTCTCCTCCCCACCCCCCGGGAACTTGTAAGAACAGTCGCTACATCAACTCCTCCAGCACATCACTCATTAACACCCGAGAAAATATTTAACCGTTGCCTAAGAATTGAAGGGAAATGCCGTACGAGGGAGACACGAGATGCGGCCTAGTCTGCCGCCTGGGCAGCCTCTCGCTCTCCTCTCCTCTCTCGTCACATTACCTTTTCCTGAGTGTCGATGGATCGATGTCTATTTTTCGTTTGGACATATTTGTGTGAAGGGAGTGGTGGATGTGTGCAAGAAGGCGGCTGTAGAGTCTCAAATATGAGTGTTGGCGCGCCTCCTCCACCAACACTCACCACAAGCCGCACGGTAAGTTTGAGCTGAGTCGACGGTTCCAAACTCTAACACCAACCTTTATCACAATTATAAACAAAATCGCAAATAACTGATAAAAACTAAAATTAACAGCAACTTCTATTATTCCATGATGACTTTTTGTGGCAAATTGTAATTATAATTGGATGAAAGTTTGTCATATGTTAATTAAGTTCCAAGTACAAAATGCATCTTGCATAAGTATACTTGAAGACTTTTGACGTCATTCACTTTAGGAAGATATAATATATTTAAAAACAGTATGCCAATCACTTTTTATGGTTTTCTTTTCTTTCTTTTTGTATACGGTAAGTACAGGAGCAGACTGAGGTGTTACCAGGCTCAGAGCTTTCCCTTTCCATAACTCATGGTAAGCCTTATAATTTTCCTGGAACATGACCCGCTAATCGGTTAACAACCGACACAGTACGCAATTACTGTTAGATGAACAAGAGCGAACAGTTAATGAATGGCGCCCAAACATTCCTCCCTGGCCCAGACAATATCGCTTGCGAAGGTCGGGCCCCGAGCGCACCATCAGGGACTTATCAGTACTCACAGAGATGTGCTTGCGGGGGTCGAGGTTGGGCTCCTCAGGTTCTTGAGCTTATTGGGCTTATTTACATTTGAAACTGTGTATGGAGTCTGCCTCTGCCACATCACTTCCTAATGCATTCCATTTATTAATTACTCTGACACTGAAAGTTTTTTTCTAATAGCTCTGTGGCTCATTTGGGTTCTCAGTTTCCACCTATGTTCCCTTGTGCGAGCACGACCCTTGTTAAATATAATCTGTCTCTATCTACTCTGTCAATTCCTCTGAGAATTTTGTATGTGGTAATCATGTCTCCCCGACCTGTTCTGTCTTCCAGCGCTTATCTATCAGTGACTTGTGCATGTATGTTGTAGTTGTTTTCACCTAAGTGGGCTTATAGGGTTGAACAGCAACTCTTAAGTCACGACTTATATTCATTAGTAGTTTCTCTATCTTTTATTTATTTATTTATATATACAAGAGTTGTTACATTCTTGTACAGCCACTAGTACGCGTAGCGTTTCCAGCAAGTCCTTAATTCTATGTTTCCTGGAATACGACCCCGCGAAAAATCGTTTAACAACCAAGTACCCATTTTACTGTTGAGTTAAACAGAGGCTACAGTTAAGGATTTGCGTCCAGTAAATCCTCCCTGGCAGGATACGAACCCGGGACAAAGCCCTCGCGAAACGTCAGGCGAGCGTCTTAACCACTACACCACGGAGACATCAAAACTTCGTATATATATATGTGTTAAATTAGCTTCAACAACTTCAAATAATGTATTCTATATAATGTTTGTTACACCTTACGTCGAAATGTGCGCTAAGATATCTTTGTGACCTTTGAGTCTCCAGTTTCCTTAAATGTTTCTGTCTTTGATCCTTCCTAACTCTGTGGAAAAGGTTCCAGAGGTACATAATGGGCCAAGGGACAAACTCAGGAAATTAATTTTCGGGATCAAAAATTTTATACAAAGAAGATTTTATAGTTTCGTATAAGATGCAGCATTGGTGTATAACCAATGATTTTGTGCCCACACGACCACAAAATCATCGGTCACGCAATATTGGTCACAATGTTGTGCTCAAGTACGTGAATATGCACTCTTACTCCCGCCAAACACACACCGAAACTACGACGTTGCTACAACGGTCTACCTAGTTTTAACATCTAACCAGTTATAACATCCAATATAGCAAGTTGTAACAACGTTCTAATACGTCATAAACACGTTAAGCCAAGATGTAACAACTTTATTACAAGTTGTAATAAGCGGAAAATAGAGACAGTTACGGTTTGTGTTTCCAGGGCTGTCGCCGAGGCATTTCCATGTTACTGAACTTGAAAATACTGGTAGATATAACTAGTGACTTATCATCCCTGCATCCCTAATTACAAAATTAGGTGTGACCAAAAAGCTCATATTGGCTAAGCAATTTGAAATGTTGACTATATGGTATGAGTGACAGAAGCAGTTCGTCGGAATATATTTACCTGAGGCCCACTAACATTAGTGACCTCGAAGAGGACAGGAAGCCGGCGTCTTGTCAAAGGTCCACCCATTTCCCTCGATGATCTTTTCCAGTTAGATTTTAAAATTAAAAAGTTTTGGCATTTACGGCTTCGGCGGGTAGGTAGTTCCATGGGTATATATGATATAGCAGCCCATCCTCCAGTTTTGGTAGTACTTTTAGTAACAATGAGGACCATAGTATATATATACCGACGTAGAAATCTGAACTATTGAGTTGGACAAACCGGAAAACAATTTTTTACTTGTGTTGCTTTGACAAACTAACCATACTTTCGTTTCCCGATAATTTCTCCGTGTCTTAACTAACGAAGTAAGCATTGTAACAATCTCCAGTTGCCTTGTATAAACTAATCTCATGCTTAGTTAAATAATTAAAACTTATCACCTTCCTGGTGCTAAAAGTAATCATCAAAAGAGGGCACCAAGCCGGGAAGACAATGTAGCACAAATCAAGGACCTGCCCGAAACGCTGCGCGTACTAGTAGCTTTACAAGATTGTAATTACTATATTATGTATCCTCACAATCCCAATGTACCTTCTTGTATACATATATAAATAAATAAATAAATAAATAAATAAATAAATAAATAAATAAATAAATAAATAAATAAATAAAATAAACAAACAACGTTTGATAAACAACGTACTCTTACCAGCAGGAGGTAATTAATTCAACTAAAACTGTAAATATGGTAACATTGCTTCAATACTGAAACTGGCTTACCTTGAGGTTACCTTGAAGTGCTTCCGGGGCTTAGCGTCCCCGTGGCCCGGTCGTCGACCAGGTCTCCTGGTTGCTGGACTGATCAACCAGGCTGTTGGACGCGGCTGCTCGCAGCCTGACGTATGAGTCACAGCCTGGTTGATCAGGTATCCTTTGGAGGTGCTTATCCAGTTCTCTCTTGAACACTGTGAGGGGATTGTCAGTTATGCCCCTTATGTGTAGCGGAAGCGTGTTGAACAGTCTCGGGCCTCTGATGTTGATAGAGTTCTCTCTCAGAGTACCTGTTGCACCTCCGCTTTTCAACGGAGGTATTCTGCACATCCTGCCATGTCTTCTGGTCTCATGTGATGTTATGGCTGTGTGCAAGTTTGGGACCAGCCCCTCTAATATTTTCCACGTGTAAATTATTATTTCGGCTTTACTAACCGAATTTGCTAACTGGGGCCTCGACGGGGACAGGAAGCAGGCGGCTTGTCAAAGGTCCCCCATTGTTCCTAAGGATTTTTTCCAATTGCATTTTGAACTGAAATAATGCCTTGATATTTACGCCTTCAGTTTAAATACCTAGACATTAGTATTTTTTTAATAATAATAATAATAATTCACTGTATCGAAGGACAGCCAGCCAGTCTATATATAAATAGGACCTCGTAATTCCCATTTAGAGGGTCAGTAGGTTGACATGGGGGAACCTAGATATAAATCATGGCCCCCCCCCCAAGGTCGAACTACTGACCCTTCCCAGGATGCAACCCCATAACAAGCTAACTGCTGGGTACCTACCTATTTGCTCCTGCTAGATGAACAGAAGCATTAGGTGACGGGAAACACGCAGCCACTTCTGCCCAACCCGTCCTCGGACCAAGTCCATTCTATCCAGCGGTCGATCCCAAAGACGCATTCATCAATTTAAAATTTTAAATGAATTAACATGCTGTTCATTCAAAACAGGACTTTTCTCAAATATAAATTATTATTATTATATATTAGCATATTGTGCATATTTAGGCACTGGTTAGGTTAGGTGTTAAGGTTCGTTGCCAGTCATTTGTTTTTGTAGTAAGTGGGTGAAGCATTTACAGCGTTGTGGTTCGAACAAAATTCGTCAGTGAACAGACCGTCCTCCAAATAAAGACCCAAAATTGATTCCATGCACCCGCCAAACCCACTGTTTATGAATGAAAAGCGGTTTACACACGACTCAACTGATTTCGTTTGAACACTTCCGGAACAAGTGCTTCACTGACGAATTTTGTTCAAACCACAACACTGTAAATGCTTCACCCATGTACTACAAATACAAATAATCGCCAACAGAACCTAAACACCTAACCTATGCCTATATATATATATATATATATATATATATATATATATATATATATATATATATATATATATATGTCGTACCTAGTAGCCAGAACGCACTTCTCAGCCTACAATGCAAGGCCCGATTTGCCTAATAAGCCAAGTTTTCCTGAATTAATATATTTTCTCTAATTTTTTTCTTATGAAATGATAAAGCTACCCATTTCATTATGTATGAGGTCAATTTTTTTTTATTGGAGTTAAAATTAACGTAGATATATGACCGAACCTAACCAACCCTACCTAACCTAACCTAACCTATCTTTATAGGTTAGGTTAGGTTAGGTAGCCGAAAAAGTTAGGTTAGGTTAGGTTAGGTAGGTTAGGTAGTCGAAAAACAATTAATTCATGAAAACTTGGCTTATTAGGCAAATCGGGCCTTGCATAGTAGGCTGAGAAGTGAGTTCTGGCTACTAGGTACGACATATATATATATATATATATATATATATATATATATATATATATATATATATATATATATATATATGCATATATATAAATATATATATGCATAATATGCTAATATATTATAATATTAATTTATATTTGAGAAAAATTCCCGTTTTGAATGAACAGCATGTTAAAATTTATGAATGCGTCTGTGGGGTCGACCGCTGGTTGTAATGGACTTGAGTCGAGGACGGGTTGGAGTTGTGTAAACCGCTTTTCATTCATAAACAGGGGGTTTGGCGGGTGCATGAAATCACTTTTACATCTTTGTTTGAACCAGGCTGTGACTCATACGTCAGGCTGCGAGCAGCCGCGTCCAACAGCCTGGTTGATCAGTCCGGCAACCAGGAGGCCTGGTCGACGACCGGGGCGCGGGGACGCTAAGCCCCGGAAGCACCTCAAGGTAACCTCAAGGTAAGGACGGGCTGCTTCTGCCTCACCTGGGATTCGAACCCGGAATTCTCGATTCTGAGATTAGAACAAATCCAGCTGTACTACCAGGATCTTATGAGTGAAAAAGCATCTCCTGTTTGCTTATATTATGGCTTGTTGGGCTTGAAACTCCTGCTCTGTGTGTGTTACATTTGATCTTATATAGATTTGGTCTGGATTAATATCCTCCATCTTGTTCAGTATTTTAAAGATTTCGGTGACATCAGCCCTGTCATGTTTGGTTTGCAATGTTGTTAGTCCTTTGGCCCTCGACCGTTCCTGGTATAAGCGTTGACTTAGCTCTGGGATGATTTTTGTAGTTCTGTGCTTGTTGACCTTCACCCGAAACAGTTATATGTACGGCGTTTGAAGGTGAGGACTCCGTGCTTGGATACAATAGTACCTAGATGGGGGCATACCAGAGATATGTACAGTTGAGTAACCACTTTCTTTTCCTTGAAATAAATGAATGCAGGCAATGAGTCACAATAACGTGGCTGAAATATGTTGACCAGACCACACACTAGAGAGTGAAGGGACGACGACGTTTCGGTCCGTCCTGGACCATTCTCAAGTCACACAATCGACTTGAGAATGGTTCAGGACGGACCGAAACGTCGTCGTCCCTTCACTTTCTAATGTGTGGTCTGGTCATCATCAATGAATGGTTTGTTTTAATATTTCTAGTTTTTTTAAGCAGCTTCCACTTGCTGTGCAACTTTCAATAACCGGTGAATCCTAGTTCCTATATATGGTATTTTTCTTCATCAATCTGCTGAATAGTAGTATTGTTGATGTGATAGTTGTGATTTGCATTTTATGCTCTGCATGCAATGTCTTCCATTTTCAATATTAAACAGTATTTGTCGGTCTTCCGACCATTTGTGGAGTTCATGCAGATCTCGTCATAAGGCGTCAGTATCGTTTTTGCTTTCTTCTTTACCATAAATCTTTGTGCCATCTGCAGATTGGATGTGATTTGTAATATTCTTTTCTATGTTGTATGTGATAAATAGGGTTGGCCCAAGTTGGAACCTTTGGGTACTCCACTCACCACGTTTTCCCAGCCAGATCCATTCCATATAAGGCGACCCATTACTTTCTTTATTTTAGCCATGGTTTTATCCATTTTAGTATTCTACCATTTGTTTCATGTGCTCGTAATTTTCTTGCCAGTCATTCATAGACATGGTCCGTAGTGCAGTCGGGTTCGTTCTCGACTCAAGATTAGGAATTCAGAGTTCAAATCCCGGGCTGGACACATTTTCTCTAACCTATTGCTTCTGTTCACCTAGCAGTAAATAGGTATCCGAGAGTTCGCAAGTGTTGTGGGGTTGTATCCTGGGGAAAGTCAGTAGTTCGACCATGGTTGCCGGGAGACCCAAAAGTGATTCCATGCACCCGCCAAACCCCCTGATTATGAATGAAAAACGGTTTACACACGACTCACAACTGATTCCGTTCGAACACTTACGGAACAAGCTTCATTGACGAATTTTGTTCGAATCACAACGCTCAGCCCGTCCTCCAAACAAAGATCGAAAAGTGATTCCATGCACCTGCCAAACCCCCTGTTTATGAATGAAAAGCCGTTTACACACGACTCACAACTGCTGACGTTCGAACATATCCGGAACAAGTGCTTCACTGACGAATTTTGTTCGAACCATCACACTATAAATGCTTCACCCACGTACTATAAATACAAATAATTGCCAACAGAACCTAAACACCTAACCTAACCTACCCTATGCCTATATATACACAATATGCTAATATATTATAATATTAATTTATACTTGCGAAAATTCCCATTTTGAATGAACAGCATGTTAAAATTTATGAATGCGTCTGTGGGGTTGACCGCTGAATGTAATGGACTTGAGTCGAGGACGGGTTGCAATGCTTCACCCCACGTACTACAAATACAAATAATTGCCAACAGAACCTAAACACCTAACCTAAGCTATGCCGGCTGCAACAAATAATTGCCAATAGAACCTAAACACCTAGCCGGCTGCAATCCATCCTCCGAATTAACAGTACGGTTTAATACTAAGTGTAATGAGTACATTTTCTTACTGTCATACATAGTACATAATTGCAGTTATGGGGCTGTTACATTTACCTCTCCATTTATTCTCCTCGTTTTCTGTTAAAACTCGGAATTTTAGGATGAAATTTTCAAGTTAAAAAAATATTTTATACACAAATTTTAAATATCAAATTTCTTTTTCAGTTTTATTAAACAATAGAGATTCTATACAAAATTTGAAAATATCCTGAGTTACTTTACAATTTATTGATATAGTTTAGTTTTGTTAGTTTTATAAAACTGTATTATCAATATAGCTATAGGTTAAGTACTAATTGTAATTTAGAAGCAATAAAATGCTAATCTTCAAACACTAAGAAGGTTAGGTTAGGTTGTGGTTTTCTATTCAGCTTTTCAGGTAAACTCAAATATTCACAATATATTTGACAGTACGGTTTAATACTAAGTGAAAATAAGTACAATTCCTGACTTATGAATAGTACATAATTGCACTTGTGCTGTTACATTTACCTCCCCATTTTTGGAGGACGGGCTGGACTATATATATGCACAATATGTTAATATATTATAAAATTAATTCATATTTAAGAAAATTACCGTTTTAAATAAACATGTAGAAATTTGTGAATGCGTCTGTGGGGTCAACCGCTGGATGTAATGGACTTGAGTCGAGGACGGGTTGCACAATCAAGAATTCCGGGTGCAAATCCCAGGCGGGACAGAAATGGTTGGGCACATTTCCTTTCACCTAATGTCTCTGTTCACCTAGCAGTGAGTTGGTACTCATGAGTTAGATTTTTGTGGGGGGGGTTGCATCCTGGGCGGGGTCAGTAATTCGACCTTGGGGTGGGGGTGGGGGGGGGACCACGATAGGAACCAAACATGTATAAATACACTCTGGCTTCCTGTCCCCCGACGTAATGAAATATATGTACAGGCTACCTGTCCCAACAAAACGAATTGAATTAAATGATGTAAAATGTGTGCTATATTTATAATTACATCAATTATATTAATTAATAGTAATATAATTACATGTAATTTTATTAATATAAATAATTAATATTTTATATAAATAATTAATATTTTATATAAATAATTAATATTATTAATAAATAATCAATTTAGTATAATTACGCTAATATAATTACATGTAATTATATTAGCGTTAAACTCATGAATTTGTTACGATCGAAATGTTAAATTTAAATACATTCTTTTGTCACACAATTAAGATTCTTTGTTACGTAGTTAACTGAAACGATTTTCTCCGTCTTGCAGTCAAGTGTTGTGTTCCGTGGGAACCCTGCAGACTGCAATAGGACGCGCAACTGGTCAGTAAGTGTGTGTGTGTGCGAGGCCTGGGGGCGGGAGTCCGGCGCCCCAGCACCCGTCCGGACCCCAGGCCCAGGGCGGGAGTGGTCCCCCACCACCACCCAGGCCCCGACCCCAGCCACCGGACACCACACTTGGCAACACCGCCTCCTCGCCCCGCGCCCATTGGTGGCCTCAGCCGTGACGTCACAAGCCAAAACAAAGCGCACCCAGGCTCCCATACGCGCTCAGAAAGCTCTTGAACTTCGTCGAATGTGGAACGGCAGATTATAACACTCGCAATTATCACCACCACCATTGTCCATCCCAAGTAACACCTTCAAACCAATCCTCTTACATCCGCGGTCTCTCTCGCACGATCATTCCGACGTTTGCTTGTTGTGAAGAACTGAATAGGAAGCGAGATGGGCGAGGTGGCTGTCAACGGTTTCGAACCGATCATGGCCGCCGACCCGGTAGACGAGTTGTTGAATGGATCACCTTCAGAAACCAAGGAAAATGTTGAGGGACTCGTGAATGGTGTGGCTGAACTGACTGAGCGCATCAAGCGCCGGGCTAAACGCCCTTCCAAGTTCATAACCAAGGAACTGAATCGAGCGAATTCTGATACGCAGGTGATAGCCCCTCTGCGAGCCCTCAAGAATTCTCGCAAGTCTCGTAATGGCTTTGGACGCGGACTTCCCAAGAAGGGTAAGTGTTTGCATATTTAAGTTATTACGTTGCTGTATTAAGGTTCAAGTGTTTTACTACTTAGTGTAGGTGTTGTCATTTGGCCGCAAGTTGGAACAAGCATTTCCTGGCCATATTTACTACATTGGAAGTTGGTGCTACCAAGGACAATAACCCCATCATTTCAGGCGCACAATATGTTTTACTCTGGTGTGGGCACGTAGGACGAGGACCCACAGCTGGCTGTCATGATGTAAATATCCCACATACGTAAGATGCGTTACTCTTAAAACGTTCCCAAGTTCCAAATGGGGGGCGTGGCGTAAATACCTGTCATGAGTGTGTGTTGGAGTATTAACTAAGGGTGTTGTTATTGGAGTCCACTTTCCCCCGGCTGTCTTTACGTTGTTAATATTTTACGGATTGTTATCTTTATTATGCCTCTGGTTATGTCGCTTTCTGCTGCCCATCGGTGGTGTGTTGGCGTCTCTGCTGCCGCACGGGGGTGTGTTGGCGTCCCTGTTGCCGCACGGGGGTGTGTTGGCGTCCCTGTTGCCGCACGGGGGTGTGTTGGCGTCCCTGCTGCCCCACGGGGGTGTGTTGGCGTCTCTGCTGCCCCACGGGGGTGTGTTGGCGTCTCTGCTGCCGCACGGGGGTGTGTTGGCGTCTCTGTTGCCGCACGGGGGTGTGTTGGCGTCTCTGCTGCCCCACGGGGGTGTGTTGGCGTCTCTGCTGCCCCACGGGGGTGTGTTGGCGTCTCTGCTGCCGCACGGGGGTGTGTTGGCGTCTCTGTTGCCGCACGGGGGTGTGTTGGCGTCTCTGTTGCCACACGGGGGTGTGTTGGCGTCCCTGTTGCCACACGGGGGTGTGTTGGCGTCTCTGCTGCCCCACGGGGGTGTGTTGGCGTCTCTGCTGCCCCACGGGGGTGTGTTGGCGTCTCTGCTGCCCCACGGGGGTGTGTTGGCGTCTCTGCTGCCCCACGGGGGTGTGTTGGCGTCTCTGCTGCCCCACGGGGGTGTGTTGGCGTCTCTGCTGCCCCACGGGGGTGTGTTGGCGTCTCTGCTGCCCCACGGGGTTGTGTTGGCGTCTCTGCTGCCCCACGGGGGTGTGTTGGCGTCTCTGCTGCCCCACGGGGGTGTGTTGGCGTCTCTGCTGCCCCACGGGGGTGTGTTGGCGTCTCTGCTGCCCCACGGGGGTGTGTTGGCGTCTCTGCTGCCCCACGGGGGTGTTGTTGCTGCGGGGGTGTGTTGGCGTCTCTGCTGCCCCACGGGGGTGTGTTGGCGTCTCTGCTGCCCCACGGGGGTGTGTTGGCGTCTCTGCTGCCCCACGGGGGTGTGTTGGCGTCTCTGCTGCCCCACGGGGGTGTGTTGGCGTCTCTGCTGCCCCACGGGGGTGTGTTGGCGTCTCTGCTGCCCCACGGGGGTGTGTTGGCGTCTCTGCTGCCCCACGGGGTGTGTTGGCGTCTCTGCTGCCCCACGGGGGTGTGTTGGCGTCTCTGCTGCCCCACGGGGGTGTGTTGGCGTCTCTGCTGCCCCACGGGGGTGTGTTGGCGTCTCTGCTGCCCCACGGGGGTGTGTTGGCGTCTCTGCTGCCCCACGGGGGTGTGTTGGCGTCTCTGCTGCCCCACGGGGGTGTGTTGGCGTCTCTGCTGCCCCACGGGGGTGTGTTGGCGTCTCTGCTGCCCCACGGGGTGTGTTGGCGTCTCTGCTGCCCCACGGGGGTGTGTTGGCGTCTCTGCTGCCCCACGGGGGTGTGTTGGCGTCTCTGCTGCCCCACGGGGGTGTGTTGGCGTCTCTGCTGCCCCACGGGGGTGTGTTGGCGTCTCTGCTGCCCCACGGGGGTGTGTTGGCGTCTCTGCTGCCCCACGGGGGTGTGTTGGCGTCTCTGCTGCCCCACGGGGGTGTGTTGGCGTCTCTGCTGCCCCACGGGGGTGTGTTGGCGTCTCTGCTGCCCCACGGGGGTGTGTTGGCGTCTCTGCTGCCCCACGGGGGTGTGTTGGCGTCTCTGCTGCCCCACGGGGGTGTGTTGGCGTCTCTGCTGCCCCACGGGGGTGTGTTGGCGTCTCTGCTGCCCCACGGGGGTGTGTTGGCGTCTCTGCTGCCCCACGGGGGTGTGTTGGCGTCTCTGCTGCCCCACGGGGGTGTGTTGGCGTCTCTGCTGCCCCACGGGGGTGTGTTGGCGTCTCTGCTGCCCCACGGGGGTGTTGGCGTCTCTGTGTGTGTTGGCGTCTCTGCTGCCCCACGGGGGTGTGTTGGCGTCTCTGCTGCCCCACGGGGGTGTGTTGGCGTCTCTGCTGCCCCACGGGGGTGTGTTGGCGTCTCTGCTGCCCCACGGGGGTGTGTTGGCGTCTCTGCTGCCCCACGGGGGTGTGTTGGCGTCTCTGCTGCCCCACGGGGGTGTGTTGGCGTCTCTGCTGCCCCACGGGGGTGTGTTGGCGTCTCTGCTGCCCCACGGGGGTGTGTTGGCGTCTCTGCTGCCCCACGGGGGTGTGTTGGCGTCTCTGCTGCCCCACGGGGGTGTGTTGGCGTCTCTCCTGCCCCACGGGGGTGTGTTGGCGTCTCTGCTGCCCCACGGGGGTGTGTTGGCGTCTCTCCTGCCCCACGGGGGTGTGTTGGCGTCTCTGCTGCCCCACGGGGGTGTGTTGGCGTCTCTGCTGCCCTACGGGGGTGTGTTGGCGTCTCTGCTGCCCTACGGGGGTGTGTTGGCGTCTCTCCTGCCCTACGAAGGGGGGGGGTGTTGGCGTCTCTGGTGTACCAAGGCGTGTGGAGGCGTCTGCTGCTGATATGCAGCAGATAAGTCTGGTGGGTGTCTGTGCCTTCGGCGTATATAGGGGGTCTACTACACCTATATACGGAAAAAATGCATTTTTTGCTACAGCACGGGAGATGCAGGAGTCTTGGCCATGAAGGATATGTAATACTTTGCTATGTAACTGAATATGTTGGCTGATGCTGACCAAATTATATGCCCAATTTATATGACATGGTATATGTTGACCTTGAGTCATTACATAAAAAGCACCAAAGGTTATGAATAGTTTGGTTTTGTCACCACGACTAGCCGAGCGTGACCTAACCCAACAAAGCCTAGCGTAACAAAGTCTGGCAACACGACGTAGCGTACCAAGTATCATAACACAACGCAATTATAGCATCATAATCTTGCCCAATATAGGACCCAAAGTGGAGCACCATAATACCCCTGCGTTCATTCTAAGCCACCAACAATTTAATAGTTATACATGCACAGTTAAATTCAGCACCATGATTCTCTCTCATATTAAGGAGAGATTGTTGCCGCCGCCTCTCTCGGCAGTCAGGAAATACTCAGTGATGGGGTTAGCTAATATTAATATATACAGTTCAATTATTTTGGTTGTGGGTTGCTTTTATTTATTATTGTGTACGTTGTAGAGATAATGCTTAGACTCTTCCCATACATTTTTTTGGATGTGAAGTTTATATACTATAATTGTTGCCTTTCAAACTTGGATACAAGTGAATACTTAGGCTGATCAAATTAAAAACCACTGTATGCTCCATAGACATAGTTTCAGAATAGTCAAATTTGAGTGCAATTTGTGAGTGGTTTATGAAATGTTAGTGCAGTAGTTAGGAAAATTGTCAGCTCATAGTCCACTTCAGTTTAGTTTAGTTCATTTATTATGCACCCCATACCCATCTTGTGGGCGGTAGTGGAAAGGGTTACAGAGGCACATAATGGGCTCAGGGACTGAACCCCACAATTCATTTAGCTAAGCAAGTTACAATCTTGATGATCTAGTTACAAAATTCAGTATACGTCGTCACATCATCAATGTCCACTTTAGCCATGCCGTTCTTCCATCCAATGCGTTCACTGTTCAACCTGACCTCTTAACAAAGAATGTCGCTTTTCGATCGTATGCGTTACACAAGACCTAAAATTGTCGTTCTAGAAAATGGAAGCGGCTCGCGAAAGTGATGTACTGTCCCATTTTCTGTTTTGGGTCCTCTGGTAGGTTAGGAGAGGACAATTCAGTAAGACGTTCTCACGACGTTGGGGAAACCTTAGGAGGACGGGCTGGCCTGTTGACTTCCTGCACTCCTTTACTCCGATCCCCCACCCCGTACTTCACTTGCTTCCCCCTCACCTCTCTCTCTCTGTCTCCTCCCTCTCTCTCTCGTCTTCTCCCTCTCTCTCTCTCGTCTCCTCCCTCTCTCTCTCTCGTCTCCTCCCTCTCTCTCTCTTGTCTCCTCCCTCTCTCTCTCTCGTCTCCTCCCTCTCTCTCTCTTGTCTCCTCCCTCTCTCTTGTCTCTCTCTCTCTCTCTCCTCCCTCCTCTCTCTCTCTCTCTCCTCTCCTCCTCTCTCTCTCTCTCTCTCCTCTCTCTCTCTCTCTCTCTCTCTCGTCTCTCCTCCCTCTCTCTCTCTCTCTCCTCTCTCCTCCTCTCTCTCTCTCTCTCTCGTCTCCTCTCTCTCTCTCTCTCTCTCTCTCTCTCTCTCTCTCTCTCTCTCTCTCTCTCTCTCTCTCTCTCTCTCCTCTCTCCTCTCTCTCTCTCTCTCTCCCTCTCTCTCCTCCTCCTCTCTCTCTCTCTCTCCTCTCTCTCTCCTCCCTCTCTCTCTCTCTCTCTCCTCTCTCTCCTCTCTCTCTCGTCTCCTCCCTCTCTCTCTCTCTCTCTCGTCTCCTCCCTCTCTCTCGTCTCCTCCCTCTCTCTCTCTCTCGTCTCCTCCCTCTCTCTCTCCTCTCTCTCGTCTCCTCCCCTCCCTCTCTCGTCTCCCCCTCTCCTCTCTCTCGTCTCTCCCTCTCCTCCTCTCTCTCCTCTCTCTCGTCTCTCCCTCTCTCGTCTCCCCCCTCCCTCTCTCGTCTCCCCCCTCCCTCTCTCGTCTCCCCCTCTCTCCTCTCCCGTCTCCCCCCTCCCTCTCTCGTCTCCCCCCTCCCTCTCTCGTCTCCCCCCTCCCTCTCTCGTCTCCCCCCTCCCTCTCGTCTCCTCCCTCTCTCCTCTCTCGTCTCCCCCCTCTCTCTCTCGTCTCCCCCCTCCCTC